CTTTTTACACCCAACTTACTCTCTGCACCCATATTATTATTAACTAAACTATCAATATCTCTTTAAACCCAAATTTAATACCTTAACTACCCTCACAAACCCAATTTAATATGTAAATTTATCTGTAGACCCATTTAGAAAACAAAAACTCTAAATCATTGTTCTGCAATTCATTCAAAGTGTGCTTTATCTGAATTGGATCCCATTGTTCATCCCATTGCCGCTTCAGTCACTCCCATTGCCACAATAATTAAACTCTACTCCATAACTCAAAATCATTTTATAAAGGGGTGTGCTATCCACACACCCCTTTTTACTTCTCCCACACCCGCTGCTAATTTCTGTCATTTGATCTTCTTCAATTCATCCAATTCGATAACCGAAAATTAAAATGGTGTGAGAGAAATAAAAAGGGGTGTGTGGATATCACACCCCTTTATAAATACACGCACAGTAGTAATAATAATTATACAAAGACAAATTATATTGAACGATTACTGTCTAGTTTGTAATGTTTATTAAGCTACCCCCCTCATCTTTATGAAAATGTTAATTGTTATTTTTCATTCTTCTAGAAAGTCGGTAGAAGTGGGTTAAGGCCAACAAGAGCAATTTCTCTAGCCATTGAGATTTGTCCTCGGTTTTAACCTTGTTGACATTGTTCTGGTAGAAGAGAGAGTGATGATTTTAAGGTTGCGGGGAGTAGGAGAGGATGGTTTTATGCTTGTCCAAATTCTTAAATCCAAGTTCTTTATTCCTGATTCCCCAATTCGAAGGAGCCTTAGATTTTCAGTTGTCTTTAGAATCAACCATGGGTTTATTAAAAAAATTTAGTTTTATTATTAATTTCACCTTGTATTTGATAGTAATTATACAATAGGATAAAAAAAGATAATTCACATTTAAAATTTAAGTTTGGTGTAAAGAGAAGTTATATGGGTTCAAATAAAATTTCCTTTAATTTAATAGTAAAACCTCAACCTTTCTTCATCCATAACGATCAATACCCACCGGGGGCTCCCTTGTTCCACTCTATAAAATGCATACTTCATCCCAAAGAAGAAGAAAAATGGCACAAATTTATCAGGTTTGTGGTTCTTGCATGCGTTGGTGATAGTGCTATGGAGTTGGAGGAGAGTGAGGGAGGACAAAGAAACCGCAGAGAGAGATTTACACTTGTGATGAACATGTCACAAGTTTGGGTGACCGGTTGACCTTTTTTTTTTTTTTTTAATATTAAATCGTTGGAACACTGGTAGCCTCTGATTTTTTCAGTCTCTTTTCTTTGTCCTTGTTTTTATTTTGGCTCGGATGCAGACGAGGGTTACATCATGGAGATCGTAGGGAATGACGATATTGTGATGCTACTTTGATTACATCATTGAAAATAAAATATTTGACTTTATTTCATATTACCTGCCGACAGAGCTGATAAACTTCTAATTTGCTTCCGACTAAGACTAAGTGTGGGGCAGCCCAATTATTTTCTTGCCTAGTTGCCTAACTCGTTTACCATTTTCCATCTCCCCGTGGTGCATTGGATAACTCACCGGTGGTGTTGCCAACACATCGACATGCGTATCAGCCAAACTACTCATTTTTCTGATTTTTGTTCTTCGTTTCTCCTGTCAATTCTGTACACCTGCCCAATATTATTGATGTATGGATATTCATTCAGCTAAAAATTTGAATGAATTCTAGGTTCATTATATAAGAAAACGTGTAACTAATAATTATATTGATATTTTTCTTTGAAAAAATAAATAGACGTTTTAAATTCAAATTTCTCTACTTTCAAAATACAAAAATTATGTAATTAAATTATTAACTTGTTACAGTTTTAAATATCACAATGCATACTACAATTCTTGTGAAAGAAAAATTGAGAGGAGGAGAAAGTATATTTCTCTAGCTATGCATACTCCGGCTTTATTTAACTTTTTCTTAAGCTTTTGAAATAATAAAACAAAACTATGTTAAATTAAATTAAATATTTTCAGCCGTAAGTTATCTCATTTCAAAAAAACTTCCCAATATGACATCTGATTAAATATTCCTTTAAACTAACAAATTGCATTAGAGAATGACATAGCAGAAGGACGTCATTTGCTTACCTCAGACAAATCTGTCTGCACTCCATAGTGAGAAGGTGGTGGGCATGCCGATCTGACAACTAGAACGGCCAAACCCAACTCATATTCTATAAATAGGGACAGGGATCCAAACTACATCGGACCCATCTCCAGTCGTAAGCAAAATGGCCACCACAACAAACCTACTGCTAACAGACCTCATGTTTGGTGTGAACCAAGTCCCTTCAAACTACATCAGACCCATCTCCGACCGTCCAAATCTCACTGATTTTCAGGTATCAGATGCCTCCTCCATTCCTCTCATTGATCTCAAGGACCTCCATGGCCCAACGCACTCTGATATTATCGAACAGATTGGTCTTGCATGCCAGACTGATGGTTTCTTTCAGGTAACAATTAAAACACACACACATATATATATACATTTATTTTGGGAAATGATGTCGACACACCTCTTTTCTCCCTCTGCATACCTTATTGACAAGTGCCTTCGTTAATATATATATATATATATATATATATATATATATATATATATATATATCCCATTTCTTTATTAATTACATGTACTTTATACTTAATTACATGTTTAGTATGAATATAGGTACTACTACATATTATGACTAAATTTTGCACCAACCTTTTTATATCAGGTGAAAAACCATGGAGTTCCAGAGATAATGATCAAAAACATGTTGAATATAGCAAGAGAGTTTTTCCAATTACCAGAGAGCGAGAGGTTGAAGATGTACTCAGATGACCCTTCTAAAACAACTAGGCTCTCCACCAGTTTCAACGTCAGGACTGAAAAACTTTCCAACTGGAGGGACTTCCTTAGGCTCCATTGCTACCCTCTTCAAGACTATGTCCAAGAATGGCCTAACAATCCCCCATTGTTCAGGTAAATAAGGATGCCTTCTTTTTCATCATCTTATGCTAGTACTTAAATATTCAAACCAACGTTTTCTAACTAGACTATTATATTGTTAAGATGTGAATATGAGCACACATACACAGTCTAACAAGAAAATATTATCCAATTGAATTTATCAGTTTAGTTAAATAAGGGCACCTTTTTGTCATCATCTCAACTACGTTTTTTTATCACGCTTATGTTGCTAAACAAATGCTCATCTTGTCAAACTTTGGATATAGTCGTAGACGAGTCATTTGTTTCTAATTAATTACATCTAAGTCACAACTGAATGAGCTGCACTTTGTTCACAGGGAGCAAGTGGGTGAGTACTGCACAAATGTGAGAGGATTGGTGCTGAGATTGCTTGAGGCCATATCAGAGAGTTTGGGCTTGGAAAAGAACTGTATTGTTAAGGCATTGGGGAAGCAAGGGCAGCATATGGCTTTGAATTACTATCCACCTTGTCCACAGCCGGAGTTGACTTATGGATTGCCTGGACATACTGATGCCAACCTAATCACTGTCCTTCTCCAAGATGAAGTGCCTGGATTGCAGGTCCTTAGAAATGGCAAGTGGGTTGCTGTCAACCCTATTCCCAACACTTTCATTGTCAACATTGGTGATATGATGCAGGTAAATACTATATCCTAAATTTATTATGTTTTGGTGTATCTGATCAAACAAAATCTCTTCATTAGATATTGGTTAATGAATCATGAATAAAGGATCTTATGAATAAAAACTAATACTACTATGCTTCATTGTATTCTATCTTAATTGATTTTTGGTTATTGGATTGTTGACCAAGGATTCAATGGCCAAAAGATCATCTGGGGTATACAAATTCTAAAGCATACTAGAAAATCCTCTTTGTGAAATCTTGATTTCTTTGTCTTTTTTCTCACCTGATTAGAAATAATAGATTATGGCATCACTCCGGAGATAGTTAAGCTCATTTATCACTAGCAAGGGGGACTTGTCCAAGTAGAGTGACAAGGCTTTTGTGATACGAGTAAAATTTGGAATTGATTTTGAACTTTTGTACCATTTTATTTGGTATCAGGTAATTATGGCTGTGGTAAACTGTAACTCAGAGAGAATCTCGATCCCAACTTTCTACTGTCCATCACCAGATGCAGTAATTGGGCCTGCCAAGGAGCTCATCAACTATGACCACCCAGCCATGTACAGGAACTTCACATATGCCGAGTACTATGAGAAATTCTGGAATAAAGGACTTGCAACTGAGTGCTGCTTAGACTTGTTTAAACTCACTTGAACATGTGCGTGCAATTTCATGTAACTAGCTTTGGACAAGTACACAAATGACCTCAAAAAATGGTCCACTTTAGTTTGAGTGTTGAGATGTCTTATATTTTCAGTAGTATGTCTATTTATTTGAAATAGACATTGAAACTATTTTGATTTTTTATTTCATTTGTAAGTTTAAGAATAAATACAAAAATAAAAAGTATGTAATTTACATTAGAATCAATAAAGTGTCACTATGATGTGGATATTGTTGATGTCTATTTGAATTTGCTGCAGTAATAAAGTTATTTGAGAATTTTACAGTACTTGGCTTAATGTCATGAAATAGAATTTTCTCTCCTCTTATTTCCATCATATTCCCTCTCCCTCCTCTCACATATTGTTTTTTGTCTTCTTCTGGCTATTAAAAAACTAACACAAAACATTGACGTGACTTAATCATAGCCGTTCAAAGAGGAGAGAAGAGAAGGGAAACTAGGAGAGGAGAGAATCCTACTCCTAATGCCATAACTTGAGGAGTTCCTTACTCCATCCACTCATGCATTGCCATATGTTATGATTTCGTCTTCTAGAACAAGACCAACTTTAAATATAAAATGGTGCAGTCAAGCCCCCAAAACAGAAGTTACACGAAAACAGATTAGTCTCATGCACAATTTCTTCATCTAGCAACCAAACAAATTCGGAATCGTGATGAATTTGAAAACCCTTTTCACCTCTCATGCCTATATAACATTTCACAACAACATAAACGAGCATTCCAAAAAAAAAAAAAAACAAAACTCCAAGACAAGGAAAAAACAGCTAAAAATGTCCACAATTAATGGAGAAGAGGAAGCTGACTCCCAATATGCTTCGCAGTTGGCAAACGTATCAGTATTGCCTATGGTGCTTAAAGCAGCCATAGAGCTTGGTGTACTTGACATTATCCACAGAGCTGGCGCCGGAGCCCTGCTTTCGCCTTCCCAAATAGCGTCTCAGCTTCGATCTCTCCACAATCCGAATGCCTCTTCAGTTCTTGATCGCATGCTTTGCCTTCTTTCTGCTTACTCTATTCTCACTTGCTCAACAATCCAAGCTAATGGGAAGGTTATTAGGGTTTATGGGTTGGCACCTGTCTCCAAATACTTTATTCACGAGAAAGGATAAGATTAGGAATGAGGATATCCGAGGTAAAGTAGGAGTAGCCGAAATTGTAGGAAAATTGAGAGAAAATCGGTTACGGTGGTTTGGACATGTGCAAAGAAGGCCTACTGACACTCAGGTTAGAAGATGCGACTAGGGGACATAGGTTCAGGGCCGAAGGGGTAGAGGAAGACCTAGGAAAACTTTGGAAGAGACTCTAAGAAAAGACTTAGAGTATTTGGATCTAACGGAGGACATGACACAGGACCGAGCACAATGGCGTTCTAAGATTCATATAGCCGACCTCACTCAGTGAAGAAGGCTTTGGTGTATTTAACACAATACGTTGAAATGAAGCAAAGCTTATTTATTGATATCTCCGATAAGTTACAAATATGTACATATACATGAGTCAAAATAAACAAACAAGAGGGAGCCTTCACAAAGGTTGCTTAAGAGAAGTCTCAGCAGTCTGTAGAGCCCCAGAAAGAGAAGGCACCGGAGGGGGATCATTCGGAGCCTTAGTACTGGACAGAACCCTAGAAGGAGGAGGCATCGGAGGTTGATCATTTGGAGCTTCATTACGCGGTACAGCCCCAGAAGATGAAGGCAATAAATGCCTTTGGAACAAACCCACAAACCGTTGATGATCAAGTAAAACCTAACCATCAGATTCCTTCATCTAGTCAAGCTTCCTCTTCATGTTTGTAGCATAGTCATGTACGAGCCGGTGCAACTGTTTATTCTCATGCTTGAGCCCTCTAATATCCTGTTTGAGACTCATCACTTCAGCCGCTAATGATTCAACTTGGCGGGTTCGAGCAAATAGGCGTTGGGCCATATTAGACACAGAACTTGCACACTGAACACTTAGAGCCAGAGAATCCTTAACAGCTAACTCATCAGACCGTTTGGAAAGTAGTCTGTTATCTTTAGGAGTGAGAAGGTTCCTGGCCACCACCGCCGCAGTCATATCATTCTTCATCACGGAATCCCCAACGGTAAGAGGAACAGTAGGGGATAAGAAGGATGGGCGCCATATGTTGTCTAGAGAAGGCGTGGCTACCTCTTCAATAAGGTTCAAGTCAAAACGACGGTCGGATGGGCCAGACATTTTCAAAGGTGTTGAAGGGAGAAAAGGTCGGACAAATCAAGATCTTAAAAGTGCAAGAAGGGAGCTTTTACTGGTGAAGATTCAAGTGTGCTTTGGAACTTAATGCTAGCCTCTATAAAAATCTGCACTCGATGGAGCTTCAGAAATCGAAGAAGCGCCTGCCCAGAAATCGAAGAGGCGTTTGCTTTCTCAAAAGCTGGGCTGCTCAGAGACCACGAGGGCCAATCTCATAAATCGAAGAGGCGTTTGCTTTCTCAAAAGCTAGGCTGCTTAAAGACCACGAAGGCCGATCTTAAAAATCGAAGAGGCGCTTGCTTTCTTAAAAGCTAGGCTGCTTAGAGACCACGAGGGCCGATATCAGAAATCGAAGAGGCACCTGCTTTTCTCAGCCTTGTCATCACCTGTCATATGCACACTCAGCTTTGCTGAAATTACGGGCATTCTGTTGAAGATTTCTGGTGAAGTAGAAAGCACGTGAATCTTACTATTCAATCATCCACTTTCCACATGCACCATCAGCTCATGGGTACCACAGATAACTTTGCCAAAGATCTCTGACAAAGTTTAGACACGTGAAGCTTGCAGCTTCCACTACATCACTATGACCAAGAAGGGTAAAAGAATAGCAAAGAAACAGCACTAACAAAGTTTAAACACATAAATTTTGAAGGTCTAGCTACCATATTATTACCCACAAGGGTAAAGGAACAGCACCACTGCTGGATAATTGGAAAGTCCCTATGTGTCAACCTCTGTGCTCCGTGGCAAGGTAGACTAGCAAACATGCCCAACCTTTACTCACATTCGAGAAAACACTCCCAACAAGATTGCTTGCTCCAAAATCGAAGAGGCACCGTCCTCCGAATCTCGAGAGCCAGACTCCCAACATGATTACTTTCTCAAAAATCGAAGAGACACCGCTCTCTGAATCTCGAGAGTCAGACTCCCAGCAAGATTGCTCTCTCAAAAATCGAAGAGGCACCGTTCTCCGAATCTCGAGAGCCAGATCCCCGATAAGATTGCTTGTTCGAAAACCGAAGAGGCACCGCTTTCTCAACTTCAAGAGCCAGATCTCCTTGGATAAAGCTTGTCTGTAATCTTCACATGCAACATCAACTTTTCAGATACCACAGACCACTTTTTCAAAGTGCTCTGACACGTGAAGCTGGCAGCTCCCACTACCGTGCTATGACCAAGCAGGGTAAAGGAATAGCATTACTACTTGTTGTTAGGGAAACTCCTATATATGTCGACCTCCATCCTCAACGGACAGGCAGATCTGCAAAAATGCTCAACCCTTCCTCATATCTGAGAGGGCACTCCCAACGAAGCCTCTCGAAATACTCAGCTTTCTTTCCCCCCGATAATCCCTCTGCAAACAAGCTACACCAGAGCAAGAATATCTCATATCATCAGGGTTAAAAGCAAGAGTATCCCATATCATGCTTTTTCCCTGTCTTTTCCTTTGGCCTTGTTCTTAACTGCAAGACAAGGAGAAAGAGAGCAATTAGTCAGCACTTGGAATCAAGCTTCTAGTCAGGAACTGACTGCCTGGAACCCCTTACCTGATTACTTACCTGGCATTGCCCTCGAGTACTCATCTTCAACATCTTATGCTTCCCGAGAAGATACCACATCTGCCTGAGGAACGATAGGGAAAGTGAGAAGGATACAAGGAAGCATGTGGAGACAAGCATAACAGAACATGTGTCGATACATCCACTACTTTGTCAACAGTAAAAGTATCTCATATCAGTAGGGTCGAACGTATTCTAGATTTGATGGACTTGTTTTGACCCTCAAATTCTTCAGTCGGCTTTATACTCTGGAGGAAACCAGAAAATCCTCCAACCCAGTTCAAGAATAAGCCTGTGGAAAGTTACTTCTTCAAAAGCAAAAGTATCTCATATCATCTATTCTCATTTTCTTCTTTTTATCCTCCATGCTGCCTGCAAGATAGGGAGAATGAGAACAATCAGCTGGAACTCGAAATCAAACTTCTGATCTGGGACTGATTGCTTGGAGCTCTGATTGCTTACCTTGTCTGTCGCATCTTTCAGCAGATCCCCTAGCTCGACGACTTAGGGGACTCCTACTACATGGTTTGTATCGCGCTTGACCAAGCCTGAAACTACAAGTAGCAAGTGAAATTGATACATTACCTTGTGCATCTCCACCAGTTAAAGATATCACCCCTGGATGGAGGAAGAGTACTTCCAGAGAAGATGCCACATCTATCTATGAGACAGATAAGGCAAGTGAAGACGAGAGCTTGAACCTATGTCATTTGTACTAAATCATTCACTTGTACTCACTAAAGGAGAGCTTGAACCTAAGTACTTGTGTAAACCCTTCACAATTAATGAGAACTCCTCTACTCCGTAGACGTAGCCAATCTGGGTGAACCACGTACATCTTGTGTTTGCTTTCCTGTCTCTATCCATTTACATATTTATCCACACTAATGACCAGAACAATCTAGCGAAGATCACAAACTTAATACTTTCTGTTATACCAAAGTCCTCACTGATTTTGTGCATCAACAATCATTAAGTCCTTACCTTTTTGCGTTGGTAATGGATAAGCTAACAGGACATATTCAAGATGATATTCCTTGGTATATGCTTTTCGCAAACGATATAGTGTTGATAGATGAAACTCAGGAGGGGTAAATGCGAAGCTTAACCTTTGGAGAGAAGTGTTGGAATCTAAAGGTCTTCGCCTAAGCCGATCAAAGACAAAATATATGGAGTGCAAGTTCAGTGCAAATGGAGGCCAAAATGAGTTAGGGGTGAGGATCGGAGATCAGGAAATACCAAAGAGCGACCGTTTTTGCTACTTAGGATCTATCTTGCAAAAGAACGGAGAATTAGATGGAGATCTCAACCATAGAATACAAGCTGGATGGATGAAGTGGAAGAGTGCATCCGGCGTGTTGTGTGACCGTCGTAGGCCACTAAAGCTTAAGGGAAAATTTTATAGGACGGCAATAAGGTCGGCGATGCTGTATGGCACAGAATGTTGGGCGGTGAAGCATCAACACGTACACAAAATGAGTTTGGACATGTGCAAAGAAGGCCTACTGACGCTCCGGTTCGAAGATGTGACTACGGGATAGAGGTTCAGGGCCGAAGGGGTAGAGGAAGACCTAGGAAAACTTTGGAAGAGACCCTAAGAAAAGACTTAGAGTACTTGGATCTAACGGAGGACATGACACAAAACCGAGCGCAATGGCGTTCTAGGATTCATATAGCCGACCCCACTTAGTGGGAAAAGGCTTTGTTGTTGTTGTTGTTGTTGTTGTTGTTGTTGTTGTTGTTGTTGTTGTTGTTGTTGTTTTAACTTACAGTATGACACATGTGCAAAAACTTTTCATGTTGTAATATAAACAATTTATTTATGTATACGCGTCAAACTATTATTGATTTGCAAGTAAAGAACCGAACAAAGTTCATTTCTTTTGCATCAGTGCGGCCACCTTCATATGTCACCATTCCTGCAGGTACCAGTTAGATGCAGTTTTGGAAGGAGGACTCCCATTTAGCCAGGCCTATGGAATGAATGTGGTGGATTACATTGGTAGGGATGACAGACTTGGTGGACTGTTTACGGACTCAATGAAAGAGTTTAACCTCATTTTTAAGAAGGAGATTCTGGAGATTTATACGGGTTTCGAAGGTCTACACACACTGGTAGATGTGGGTGGTGGCGACGGTACTATTCTTAACATGATAATTTCCAAGCACCCTGCCATCAAGGGCATCAACTATGATTTGCCTTCAGTTGTCGAAAAGTCTCCCTCCCATCCCGGTATGATATAAATTTTTCGCTTACCTTTGGACAACTTCGTGTAGCTCTTCGTAGTTCGCTTTGCTTTGCTAACTTACTGAAAGAGTTTTGCTTCAGGTATAGAGCACATTGCAGGAGATATGTTTGTGAGGATTCCGAAAGGCGATGCCATTTTCATGAAGGTGAGGTTTCTGAGAATTATTCAACTGCTTATTTACAAAGCAAGTTCAAAAGCAAACATTTACTTCCGCTGAACCAAAATGTTCAATATAACTGTGGGCGCTCTAGCTTGTTTACCCCTACACTTAAGTTTCGTATTCAAACCGACCTAACCCAATATCATTCGACTAGTTACACTATCAACAGCTTTCAACCAATGCAAATGATTTTATTAACAGTGGATACTACACGGTTGGGATGATGATCGATGCTTGATGATACTGAAGAATTGCTATGAGGCCTTGCCAGACAACGGAAAAGTGATAGTGGTGGATATGGTGATACAAGAAGCCCCGGGAACAAGTTTTTCTGCTAAAAGTTTGTTTCTGTTTGATGTGTACCTAATGAATACCAATGTGATGGGAAAGGAGAGAACAGAGAGAGAATTACAAAGTATGGCAAAAGCAGCAGGATTTTCAGACATTTGAGTTGCTTGTTCCGCTTTTACCTTTTCTGTCGTGGAACTGTTAAAGAACATGTAGTTTCCAGTTGGATATGTTTGGTTACTGTAATCTTTTGAGTTTCAAAGACATTATACTAAACTTTCATTCATTGACGAGATAAGTAGATTTAACAAGGAACATATAAGAGCAAAACAATGGGATGATAGATTATAATCTGTCTAGTCTTAAAAACTCTGAACTGACCTAATTACAACAGTCGGGCATTGACACATCGTCTCTCTCCATCTCTACTGACGTTCTATCTGAATCGTTACATGACTGATATTATATTCTCTCTTGATGTAGTCTACAACCTTTTCCAGCACCATATCGGCATTAGCATCCGGCTTAACGATAACATGACAAGCCATTAACACCTTCCCAACAGTTATCGCCCATATGTGCAGCTCGTGAATGGCAACTACCTCATCCATCTCGCAGAGACCTTTCTCAATCTTTGTGGCATCAATCTCCCTGGGAGTGCTCTCCATCAAAACCTCCAAAATGTTCCTCAACATCCGAATTGTTGTCGACAGCACGATTATTGAAAATACAAGAGTACATATCAGATCAATAATCTTCCACTCTGGCTTGTACCAGATAAGCCCTCCACCAATCATCACTCCAATACTCTGAATGGAATCGCCAAGTACATGAAGATAAGCCCCCTGCACATTGATGTTTCGTTGCTTCTTCTTTTTACCTTCTGGTTTCTTTTCACCTTCAGAGCTATGATTGAGCAGAGGTTCTGTGCTGTTAATTACATCGGTATGATGGTGCTTGTCGTCATGATTCGAGTGCACCTCATGATGATGAGAGTGATGTGTTGTCACAGTAATCCCATGGTTATGGGTCTCATCATGATCCTCATGACTATGATTATGATCACCATCTCCATGACCATGATTATGATCACCATCTCCATGACCATGACCATGCCCACCATGGCCATGTCCATGTCCGTGCCCACCATGGCCATGTCCATGTCCGTGCCCACCATGGCCATGTCCATGTCCATGTCCATGATCGTGCCCATGATCATGACCCAATAAGAGTGCCATGGCGATATTAACCAGTAAACCAAACGCAGAAACAAGAAACATGAGAAAGCCCTCAACTTCACCAGTGCCATGGATAAGTCTTGCAATGGCTTCATAAACAAGGATCCCAGCAAGCAGCCAAATCATCTGAATGGAAACAAGAGCACCTAGTATTTCAATCCGGAAGAAGCCATACGACTGACGAGGAGTTGCCTCCCATCCTGATGCCCAAAGTGAGAACAAAGAAATTGCAAATGCGGCAACATCTGACAACAAATGAGCCGCATCAGTGAGAATCGCAAGACTGTTGGCTTTGATACCCCCAACAACCTCCACACTCATGAAAACGACACAGAGGACAACTGCTATCAGAAGCTTCCGCATGGATGCTGACCGTTCCTGTGCATCTTTGTAACTAGTTTTAGCATCTGAAAATCCGCATGGTGCATCCCCACAAATCTTGGTCCCACACAAGCTCGTATCTGTAGCTGGCACATCTCCACCTACTTCAACTACATGCGAATGCCCAGAATTTTGAGCTTCCATCTGAAAGGCAATAAGAAATTGTAAGAGATGATGAAGCCTCAGTAAATTCTGGCAGATCTTTTTGTCAGATATAACCCTACGAATCATATAGTAAATAATAAAAACAAGGTTGAAAACAATAACAACGTGAAAAGGACAACATAGAGCTAACTCAACGAATACAAGGCAGCAAACAAAAACGATACAGAGAATAGAAGCACCTCAACAAGCATCCTATTGGCTGTCCTGAAAATCAACAGGAGCAAAAGAAATATGTGTTCTCTTATGTCACCTCCCTAACTAGTTTATTTGAATAACAGACGCTCAACAGAACACTCCATACATACACAACGAATGTAATGTACTCTGCCCAATCCGATATTTACCCAACAATCATAATCACAGGTTCGATAAGATTATAAACAGCGTCTACGATTACTGGACTTCAAATCCGAAAATCTGCTCAGACGCCAAACCTACAAGAAGTGTACAAACAAAACTGTGCAACCCAAATCAAAGCCACAAACAATCGAAGGGAGAAAGTAGTGGAAATTTTGGCTAGTGCTCCTTCATATACGTCAAGCGCCGTGTCCCTTTCGACAAGAACATATGGTGTGAAGCATAAATAATACACATCACTGCAACATTAATGCTTATACAATAACTAGTACCTACTAAGTTGAAGAAAAACACAGTATACAGCTACCGCCACATCACGAAAATTCAATTGAGATACATTATACATAAGAATGAAACCAAAAATTTCACGAGGGATACATGAATACAATAAATAGGGGTATGATTGAGCAATCCTCTGGCAAGCAATCAAGAGAAAATGCATACCTTAATCAGAGAACATAAAAATTATATAAATTATGAAACTTTACCTTTCAAAAACCCAACTGGCAACCAATAAATCTTTACACTGATGGGCAATGAGTGCATTAATACAACCACGAGACCCACAAGCAATATCACCAACAAAGTGCAGAAAAACAGAGCAAAATCCAAAACATGTAATCAAAACCAACAGACCCAAATGAGATAATATTAAAAACTCAACATCTCCCTCGATTTTGAGAATCTGCGTAATTGAAAAGGCGTCGAATTTATGAATTCCCCCACATAAAAATCGAAACTTGAACACTTGAATAATGAATCCAGAGAGAGAGAGAGAGATACCTCTTGAAAGCAGTATTGCTCAGAAGGGGGAAGTGGAAGTAGATAAATAGAGACGGATCTTTAGTGTTGTATATTATTGGGAGGAAAGCTTGATGCTTGGAACTTTATACATATATATCCCATATATATATATAGATAGTGGGCTTAGAATCCCAACTTTGGGTGTGGAGAAGGTTCCTGTCCTTTTGGTGACGATTTGCATTCCTTCTTTGTTTTTCATTCAATGACAATTAAGGACTGATTTTATTTATTATTTTGCCTTTAAAAGGCCTTCTGCCCTTTGGGCCGCCAACACGTGGATTGGTTTTTTTGGGTATTTTAATCCTTTCAAGACTTTAATGACGTTCTTGTCATAAAAAATATTAAAAAAAGTCTAATAACCTTTGGTATTTTTGTTTTGATTGAAACATTTGGTATTTTATCAAGTGTTAACTTGTGTAAGAGGTTTATGTTCGATTTTCGTCAAAAGTAAATTTAAACCTTATTATTATTAGCTTATTGTGAGGCTTAATCTATTTCTTCACCCTTTAATGTACATAATATAGTTTATTCAAAAAAAAAAAATTAAAAAAAAACTTGTGTATTGATAGTTTTGAGTTCGATTTATTCTTTTATTGCTTGTAGAAAACAAGTAAAATAAATTGACCTTACTTTAACATGACTTAAATCTAATCCCAAAACAAAGCAAAAACCTAAACAAGAAGGAAATCCAAACAAAGATGGTAAAATCCTTTGTGATACGATTTTGAATTGGATAACAAGTTATGACTCGTTTTGAAGTGTTTTTAAAATGATTGAAAGCACGTTTACTGAAATTGATTTTTTGTTTTCAATAGCACTTTAAGTGCTTTTTGGAAGAAGCATCAGATATATATTTCTTGGATGAAGCACTTAAAGAGTTTTTTTTTTTCAAAATCCACTTGAATTCATACTAAGGATTGAGTTAAAAAACATTTTCACCAAAAGTGTTTTCAGTCATTCTAAAAGCACATTCAAACATTTTAGTCAACTTGAGAATACGATTTAGACCAAATTCTCATTTATTAAATTTTTTGAACTAACAATATTATGTATCCATGCACAAACACACATTAGGAGAAAGAAAAAAAACATCTAATTGATGACAAACATACTATCAATATTCTAACCTTTAAACTAATCACTGAAATATGGGAATTTTCTACTCTCATCCACAAGTTGTCTTTTACTAATTCCGAAGAACACTAAATGCACAGCAGTGAATTAAAAATACAAATTGCATAAACCAACTAATTCCAATAGAAATATAAATAATAAAATAAGGAGAGCAAATATAAATAAAAGAAATTGAGTTCTCTCCTTTGTGAGTGTTTCTTTCTCTCTGCTGTGAGAGTACATATGTGAGATCTTCTTCCAGGCTCTTCGGTGGCACCGACCCTAGCTTCGGCTGGGGTCGGGTGATGTGTCCTCTTTTTCCTTTTATCCTTTTTTTCTTCCTGCATCTACTGTTGGTTCTCCCTAATTTTCTATTCGGCCTTTTTAATTCCTCCTACTTTGTGTGTTCTCTTCTTCCTGATTCTTCCTTGCTTTGTTTTTCAGCTAGGTCTTCTGTCGAGATCGTGTGTAAAGTTCCTGCGCTTGCACCAGCTCGAGTGTGTTCCACACCACCATGTTCTCCTTTGTGTCTGTTGCTTGGGGCAGTGTTGCTCGGGACTTGTTCTGAGCTTCCAACTGGTGATTGGCCTCTCTCGCTTGGATGTCGATTACCTATAACTTATGGTTGTGCGCAGAAGACGTCAGTGAAGAAGATGATCAGCGGTGGTCGGGGAATCGGATGGCTAACAGTTCCTTGGATTGTCGATGGAGAAGGCAGTGATGCTTCTCGGATGTTCTTTGATTTTGGGCTTATTTTCTGTTTCTGTTGTTTCTTTCTGTTTAGGCCCTTTTTGGCTATGTATAGGTGTTGTTGGGCCTTTGTCTGTTTGTAAGTTTGTGTTTTGTTTGGAATAAAATCTTTCCCTTGACCAAAAAAAAAAAAAAAAAGCAAATTGCCACACGTGTACAGTTGTGGCAAGAGACTAGTCATGATTATCCATAATTATAATTTTGGTTGTTTGAACATAAGGGTAGAGTTGTCTTTTTACTGCAATTTTAGTCAACAAAAAAAACAAACATAAGAGTAGAGTGGACGACACCTAAATTCCAATATGCCTTATCCAAAAAGAAGATAAAAAATTCAGTCTATTTGTCATATTCCAGATTCCAAATCCAAATAATGAAGCTGAGTAATACCAAAACTGAAGCAATTATGGATTAGGGTTTAGCCTGGTGACTATGTGGATTGTTTTGGTCTTAGGTTCTTCTCACTGTGTCGTGAACTTAAATCTTATCTTTCCCTTTAGTGTAGATTATTGTAGAATATCGCTTGTGTATTTTTCTAAAAATAAAAAGGTCTAGTAACACTTCTCTTCTCAATATTAAAAGACGTTTCAAATTTGATTCCCCAATGCCGAGATAGTTTCCATCAAGTTCGACTCCCTCATTCCCAGTTGATAACAATTGATTGAAGTAAAGCTTTCGCTTTATCTTCCAACAACCGCTACGATGGAGCCTTAGGGAAATAAAGTATAAAGGTTGTAAGAGAAGAGAAAACAGAGCACTATAAAAAACATGGATGAAGAATTTTACAACCAACAACAAAAATCGGAGGTGATAGTTTGTACATACTGATTTCCATCCGTCTTCTGGAAACTTACAAAGTGTGATTCAAGAAACAAAGCCTAATCGAGGAAACAAAATGCTGAGAGCAGAATTACAGCAGAGCTTCCTTCTTTTTGGGTTCTAGAACAGGAGGGTCGACATCGATCCCCATATTAGCTGCAGTCCCTGCTATGATTCGCATTGCTGATTCTATTGTCGAGCAGTTCAAGTCCGGCAGCTTTTCTTGCGCAATTGTACGCAACTGATCGATGGTGACCTTTCCCACTTTCTCCATCTTTGGGTCTTTTGAACCTTTCTCCGCTCCTGCAGGGTGCATACCATTCAGCACAGATGAACAACTATTGCAAGAAAAGATTTTTATGTGATTGGTCCGATCATGATCATATACGTGATGGCATACAATAACAAAGCCGAAATATTTCAACATGTCCAGATTAGTGATATTTCTAAAACAGCGGCCAAGACTTGAGTTATAGCAGATATGACAGATATAATCAATGAAAATTCTAGTATGCTCCGGTGAAGTCCTTGTAATCAAAACCAATTATTGTACAGATCAAAGAGAATAACAATCGAAGCCACAATATTGTGCATGAAAGTAAGCTTGCCACTTATACTTGGATTTGTCCTAGCATTCCAGCTATAGGTTTGAAACTTAATCGAACGAGATAGAATGCCAAACTAATTGTCATATGAAAGTTCAATGGCCAATTCATAACGGCTGACTCCACATTCCTTACATTAATCAAAATTTCCTCATTTTCTTCATGTAATGCAAAATGCTCCCAGTTTTTAACACAGAAACATATATACATGAACTATAGACACCAATACTATTTGGCAAAAGATAGGGTCCGCCGGCCATGAAGACGTCAATACCCATTTAAAGATTTCAATCTACTACATCTTCCACTCATTTTTCTTGTTTGTTGATAAGATATAACATTCTCAACAAATTGTGAACACGCAAAGCTTATCACAAGTACATCTGCATTTATCCACTGGTTGAGCAGCAGCATTTAGAAAATAAACACGGCGACATATCTTCCGATACAACGAAATGCCAATGTGTGAGCAAAATTCAAAGAACCCCACATCAAACAGATAGAGGGCACAATGATATAACAGAAAACAAACAATCATACCTGCAGCCTTAAGAAGCAAAACCGAAGCCGGTGGGGTCTTCAGAACGAAAGTAAAACTCTTATCCTGGCATCAAAAAATCTGATAACAAAGTCACAATCTTGCAAAAATTAAGCAAAGAGTTGGAAAAATTATACCAAATTCGCAACGAAGACTAACATCGTAGACGGTGATTTCAACTGGAATGACATAGCCGGGCTTGTCCGCCGTCCTGGCATTGTAATCCTTACAAAAAGCCATGATATTTACACCCTTCGAACCCAGCGCCGGGCCGACCGGCGGAGCCGGAGTCGCCTTCCCGGCCTCCAACGCCAGCTTTATCATTCCAATCACTGCAAAACCGAAAACCCATCAACGAAATGAACTCAAATTCGTTTGACGAAGCAAAACAGTGAATTTGGAATACCCTTTTTGGCTTTTCCGCCGGGCTTGGCTTTCGGTGGAGCCATGGCTGTGACGCTGAGGCGCCTCCGCGTGTTGAATTGGAGGGAGCTGGTGGGGTTGGAGGAGAACATGCTGCTTATGCTTATCGGCGAGCCCCAAAGGGAGGAAGAGAGCTGAGTCCTCACATTGTCGCGGCTGTTGGTATTCTGCGAGGAGAGAGAGGAGAGGACGTGGTGGGAGGTAGACACGGAGGACGCCATGGGAGATGTTTGAGTTCACTGAGCAGTGTCTCAGCAGGAAGGCAGAGTTTTTTGGATAAAAGCCAGTGGAGTCCTATCTTCGAATAGACAACCGGAATCTCTATAACCCTGTGGAAACGACGTCGTAATAGCAGAGTGGTTGTTCGCTGGTTTTAGCGGGTAGCAGCGAGCGGTTAAATACGTTTTGGGCTAGGATTTACGTGGGCCTAATTAGCCCATAGGAGGTGAACAAATTAAGTCAACGACGAGTGTATGCAGTGTAGATTGGAGAGAGAAACACGAATCCAATGCATTGTTTGGTGATCCACAAGATTAATTTAGTTGGGTTATTTGGGTCCCTAGGTTTAGATATTGGGGTCGAATTAGTTGGGTTTAATTGTCCCAACTTCTTGAAAGGATTAGTTATACCTATCCAACAAAAATGCACATGATATGAAATTACAGTCGAATTGATTCTGTCCAATATCTATCAATTTTGAGTACCAAACATAACATTGAATTGCACTGATCCAAATCTAATGCTTATTAGCATGCACAACATGTAAGCTTGGTAGTTTTTAGGGCCAATAGATAGATAAGAAGACAATTTCTCCTTTCTAATCCTACCATTTTTTAGGATGATAGAAATGAATAAGTTTTCTTATTGACTAATCTATATCCTCCCTCCAAGTTTATCACAATTTGTTTATTTTTTCCTTCAACATACGTTAAAAATAATATCCGACTATCTTTTGTGTTCCAATACAATTCTTCGTACCAAACGAGGCCTCTATTTGGTCAAGTCCCATTCCTTAGAAAGTTGGGCAATTGTCCATTTTAATTAATCAAGTTCCATTCGCCAAATATGGCATAATAATGTAACCAGAGTGTCCATGAATTTCTCCCAAAAGGGACAGAGAATTAAGGTAGTAAAATATCCTGTGAACACATTTGTTTACGCGAATAGCTCAGTAGCTAACTGCGTTCTTAATACTTGGGAGATGCAATAATAGAGACTGCACATGGTTTAGTTGGATGCAATATGGAATCGCTTTCACCAAATTATGTCCCTTTTTTAAGCTAATCAAACCAACAAGTAAATTGTTTCTTAAAAGTGAAACTAAAGAATCGCTCACTTTTGGCACGCAAAATACAACACTTGGTGCCGGTGTTTTAGCTTTACACCGTTCAGCACGAGCAACCGATATCAGAACTCTTGACAACACAAGTTACAAGTGCAGCAATTACAAACCATCATCCTTAGATACATCATAAGCTTGAGAGAAACTCTCCATTTTTCAATTAAATAATATGATAACATGTTCGAAATACAACTCTAAAAGTTGTGTAAGTGGTTCCACAAAACCCAAATTAAAGAAGGAGATGAAATACGAGAGTACAACATACCTAAAAATAATTAGAAACTAGTATATGCCCACACACAAAGTGTGTGAAGTGTTTTATTTTTATTTTTAAAATTGAAGGAGAGAGGAATAGAGTGCGAGTTAACGTGGGAGTGAGAAGAGAGTGAGAGAGGTTTTTTTTTTTTTTTTTTTTAAATTAGAGATGTTAGAATCATATGTAGGTGATGTTTAAACAAAAAACAGTAAAATTTTGTTTTATCAAAGGCTTTTTATATTAGAACCCCACAAAATGTTGAATACACCCCACATTAAAATTTAATATTAATGACTTATTGACTTTACTATGCAATGACAATTTTGACCTTATTAGGTTTAAAAAATAATAAAAAATTTATAAATACACCCCAAATCACTTTTGACGTATTATTTATCTACTTCAACTATCAAAAACCCCTCCCACCCTCCATTGTTGAATAAAACCCTAAGCAATGAAACTACAAACATGTTGATTGAGAAAAATTATTTTTGACGAATGGAACACAAAATCAGTGTTTCGAAAGCTTTAAAATCATTATTATTGTTATTGAAAAACGTTCAAATGAACCTAAACATTTTTTCAAATCATTCAATTTGAAATCATTCGGCAAACTAACGTTCATATAGTTTGAAATCATTCGGCAAAATTAAAAATGAGTGTTATAAGATTTGAGAAATATGGGGTATATAAAAAATGTGGGATGTGTATAGAAAATGTAAGGTGTATATTAAGAATGTGGGGTGTGAGGGTATTATGGGGAAGGAGGTGGGGTGTATTAAAATAATTTCTAATTGAAAAAGTAAATGTGGGGTGTATTAAGTATGTGAGGTTTATTCAACAATTTGTGGAATGCTAATATAATAAGCTTTATCAAAATACGTTACTGCCGTTAGACTTTTTGTTGTGATAGAAGATTAAATAGTATTTTCATTCTCTTTTAATTGACAAAGAAAATTTTATAAATATGTAGTTTAGATATATTTTGACCCATTAAACAATCAACTTTCATATTCGTATCGGGGTTCCTTTCCGTGCTATCAAAAGATTTAAAACTAGTGAAAGATGGGCAGCACAATTGACACGCGACAAGTTAAGATTCCACAAAACAATCATGTAGGTTTGCACAGATGATTCTAATCCAATACTTGGTATATGGAGACAAGAAAAAATGACCTAATCTTCTTAAATTTGACCGGCCAACAATATTATGCAAGCTCCAAGGAATCTTATTTTTTATTTTAATAAACTTGTCCTTGAATCTATTATCTATATAGCCATCCATCTATGAGGTGTTTTCTGCAACACAACTCCTTCAGATACATTCAAATTCAGTCCCTCTCACTCCCTCTACATCCATGCACTAGTAAAAAAAACACTTTGCGTGACGTAGGTCCTTCGTCGCGCAAAGTCATAAAAACGTCACGCAAGTTTTTGCACGACGAACCTTCGTCACGCACCACACGTCGCGCCAAGCCTGTGAAAGCAGGGTTTGCGTGACGAAGAAGTTGCATGCGTCGCGCAAAGCCACTTTGCGTGACGCACTTACCTACGTCGCGCAAAGTAGCTTTGCGTGACGTAGATATACGTCACGCAAAGCTACTTTGCGTGACGACTAAGAAGTTGCCTGCGTCGCTCAAAGCTACTTTGCGCGACGTATATGCGTCACGCAAAGATATTTGCGCGACGTAGGAAACTTCTTCGTCGTCACGCAAACTTTTTTTTGGACAAAAAAATTGCATGACGTAGGATTGTGCGTCACGCAAAGGCACTTTGCGTGACCTATGCAACTTCTTCGTCACGCAAACTTTTTTTTTTTGGGGACAAAAAAAGTTTTGATATAATTTTTAATAAATACTGTAATTCAATTCTAAAAAATAAATAATAAACCAATAAAAAGTATTTAATTATAAACTACATAAAAATATACATACAACATGTCCGAACAAAAAAGAAAAAACTACAATAAGTAGTCTTCTAGGTTTGATACATCAAACTACTAGGTATCAGTTGGATGAAATGGCTGGGAAGTCGAAGGTGGAACAAGATCAGGTGATGGCATCTGGATTTGAAGACCGGATATCGCTAAGGCCTGTAGAATCATATTCATCTTGTCGTCATGGGTCCTAACCTGAGCCTTCATCTGCTCGTTCTCGGCCCTCAACTGCTCGTTCTGAACCTTCATCTGCTCATTCTGGGCTACAAGCTGACCTTTTAAGGTTGTCACTTCCTCCTTCAGAGCATTGACCTCTCCTGTGGTCGATCTGGAAGAGGAGGCACCCGTTTCACGAACACGCGCCTTCCCCATGCCCCGAACAACTTTGCCATGACGACGACCGAACTTCTGATTCAGGACCTCAGTCATGATCTCAAAACCTGCATCATCGGATACAGTGACGTCCTCAATCGGGGTATCCGGGGGAAGTTGCGATGTTGCTTCTTGGAGAACAACATCACGCTTTTCCACCATAGAAGCCTGTAATAATAAAGAAAAAACATATAATGTTTAATAACAAAATATAAATATTATTTGAACGATTCATAAATATAAGAATAATAACAATTACATATACTTACATAAAGCTGCTCACTGGTCTCTCATCGCCAGGTTGAACGTAAACGTCATTGAACACGTCGATCTCTGGGAACTTAGAACCCTCCTGAAGAAAAAAAAAACATTAAGAAAATTTTATTAATCAATAATAAAAAATAAATTGTATAAAATTTCAAAAGTAATATACTTTTACCTCACGTCGTGCCTCAAGCCTATACGAAAAGGGTTTCGAACCGGAATGGTGGAGAAGTGTCTTTGACTCCCGAGCAATCTTGCCAGCAATAGATTTCTTCTGTGAAACACATAATATAGATGTGTTAGTGTGACGATTTAAAAGCAATTATTTTAAAAATGCTTAAAAAAATAACTAAAACATTAATGAATTATTATTAAAATATTATGTACATACCACAAATTTTGGGTCCGTAAAATGGTTGCAAAGCCACTCCCAATCCTCTCGCCGGTCCGCCAACTCGGATGGGCAACCCTGTAGGCGAGCAGTCTCCACATCACCCCATATCTTAAAATGCGCATGAAGATCGCTCTTCCAATTTTTGTACCGGTTTGCAAAGGTCTCATCTAAGTAGGTGATGACCTCGGGGGATATGTCCTTAAAATCAAAATTGACCTACAAATATGAAAAACAACAAAAATAATAGTAAGAAATTTAATAATATTAAGATAGTACACACTTTGGCTTATAATATTTGTAAACATAATTGGAAAAAAAAATGACAAAAGGCTAAAAATTAATATACTAACCGACAACTTGTCTCGCACCAGTATCTTCGTCTCCTCGGGAATTTCTGCCCAAGATTTCCATTGCATAGGACAACAATTTTTAATAACATAACCACAGCTAGTAACGACGATACTATGTTGCTGTGAGGTAGCCGCTCCACGATGTCGCGAGTCATATGCAATCTTGATCAAGGAGGCGGACAGACGTACCATTTGTGCCGCCTTCAGCATTCGATTAGGCCCCCTGGTGTTTTTTTTAGCTGCCCAAAAAAACTATGGTGAAAACCCTAAGCTTAAATTTCTACAAAAAATTCTGCAAAACCTCCCCTAACAATATATCATTTCCCAAAACCTTAAAAAAGTAAAATAACAGTAATTCACAACCCGTAACAGATTTTCACAATCCAGCAGATTTTCACAATCCAGCAGATTTTCACAATCATAAAAATAATAATTTTAAATGAAAAAAAAATACAACATAATGAGAATTAGAAAAAAAAAACTACCTGGAGGGGAGCCCCCATCCTCGACTCTGGATGACGAGGAACTGTGAATAGAAGACTCTGAATCACGGCGGCGCCGGTGAGGCCGCCGTGCATTGAGAAACTGAACGGACACTGATGACGTCGATGATAATGGCACCTGGGATGTCGTAGCAGTAGCCTCAATGAAAGGTGTAGGCTCCCCAATCAATGGAGCACTCACGGCCGGAGCAGTAGATGGTGATAATGCGGGAGGCGCATTGGTCACACTCCTACGACGAGTGATCAACCGCGACATCTACACTTTTTGAACCATAAAAATATAACATTAGAAACTAATCCTTTCTTGCATTTGAAACTAGAAGAAAAAGGCAAGAAAACTGAACAAATAAACCATGTGTGAAAAAATTGCAAGACTGCTCACTACATGTGCTCTAGTCATCCCGGAGATGACAGCAGGAGACACAATGATTTTAACAAACATATAACGCAACCTTCCACCTGATTCCAGGCAGAAGAATAACAAAATTATGTTAACAACCAACTAGGCAGTAATCACCGAAAACATATCCAAATACACTAGTACTCTCTATTCATTCTTCCATTTAACAGCATGCCATTTCAGCAGTTTAAACAAAACTTGACATATGCCCGATCAGCAATTTAGCACTTGACATATGCCCGATCAGCAATTTAGCACTTGTCAAGCAATTGTGGTAAGTTTAATCCCAACTAGTTTTCCTTGTAACTTCGCCGCAAAAATGAATTACGTTTTTATATAAGTGAAAAATAAAAACAAACCTGAAAGGTTTCCCTGATTAATGAATACTCCAAGCCATGCTCTCTTTCAACAGCGCATGATATTCTTCTTCTTAAGCCATCTACGCGGATGAGGTACAAATCTAGGTACTAAAGAAAAGAAGCTCAATGAACAAAGATATTAAAAAATATTGTCACATGTTTAGATACAAAGACAGAAAGACAAATCAATTATAAGAACATATGTACCTCATCAAGGGTTAAAGTGCATAGCAGAGACTTCTCAAAGACCTGAGGACGAGCAACAATTTAAAAGGTACTCTACACATTTTTCAAGAAATCATAATGGAATTGTATTTCTATTGGTTCATTTTACGTTTATTCATTTTTTGGTTTGGTAAAGGCATCCACTGGAGTTGTATTGAAAATTGAGTCTTCACTGGAGAATATTCTGGCTGAGACTGGAGACCAAGTCTAATGAGAAGCAAAGCCCACTAGTAAGTTACCTATTGGCTCTACAGTTTGATGTACTAGTTCCTTAACACACGAAACATATCAAGAGTTAAATTTTTTGGCATTTCTGTAAATTCAAAGCTGAATAGTGCCCATTCATCCCTCACTGTAAACCAAAACCCTCGCCCTCCTTTTCTTACATATATCATATTAAGGGAAATTTTGAAAAGAAAAGGCAATTACATAACAGCAACGTCAGGAATACCATATTAAAACCATTCAAAGAAGGAAACCCCACAAGTAGGTGAGGCTGCTGAGAAACTGCTGTTTACAATTAGGTGAGGGACAGTGATAGGCTCACCCTCAAGCTAATTTATACGGAGCAGCAAAGAACGTCAAGCCGGAACCGTCTGCAGGAACCGTCAAGCCTTGGAGATTTTGACAAGCAGGAACCGTCTGCACACAGAGGGAGAAAAACACCACACAAGAACGTCAAGCCTTCGAATGTTGGAGACTCAATTGCTATTTCAACCAAACCAACATTTGCATAAATTAATCAGTAAAACCCATCTCATAAAATCAGAGATATTGAGAGTTATTGGAGACTAAACAAAACCCATCTCATAATCATAAATTAATCAGTCAAGCCTTCGAATGTTGAAGCCTTCGAGATTTGCATCAGCTAAATTCAGTAACCAGACCAACATTTGCATCAGAAACCCTTACCTTGAATTTGAGACTTGATTCACGTCGGCTTCGAGATTCGTGTGGCTGCGGTACTGGGTTCAAGATTTGGGGATCAAGGCGAAAATGAGAGATAGAGGAGATGAGGACTACGGGAAGAGTAGATGAGGATTATGGAAAGGGGAGATAGAGTGACGGGGAAGATAGAGCGAGAGGGCGAGAGGGAAAGATAGAGCGAGAGGGAGATACGGGAAAGGGGAAAGGGGAAAGATGAAGCATTTGCGGATCCACAATTAAGAAATTTTCTTTTGCTGCAACTAATTGGGATGAAGGATTATGCGGGGAAAGATGAAGATAATGCGAAAGGGGAAGAGTAGATGAGGGAAAGATATAGCGAGAGGGAGATACGGGAAAGGGGAAAGATGAAGGATTATGCGAAAGGGTAGGGGAGATACGGGAAAGAAAGAGCGAAAGGGAAGAAATAGGTCAACGGGTTCAGCGCCAAAAATTTTCATTATTCACCTATTTTTCATTATTCACCGCCAAAATTATCAAGTTTGCGTGACGTAGGTATACAATTTGACGTCGCGCAAAGTGGTTTTGCGCGACGATTACATTAAAGCGTCACGCAAGTTATTTTTATTTTTAAAAAATTATTAAAAATTTTACTGAAAATGTGATTTTACTCCATTCAAGTTCAATTCTTTTTTTTACTTAAACCCCACAATAATATATTTTTCTAACAAAAATCCATAATAATTTTTTAACATATATATCATTCAATCTCTTAAGTGTTATAACTACAAAATAAATAAATTAAAATCTACATAGTAAATATATATACCACTGAACTTGAAAGGAAACGCACTGTACGAAAATATTTTGAACGATCCAACCGTCAAACTTGTTTGTATATGATTCGAGATCGCGTATGCCAAAAATGGCAACAAACGAACATGCAAATATCAAGTAACGGGGACAAAATATTTCGACGGTTATAAACGAAAAATCACGATTTAACGGTACATTTAACTCCGATTTTGATGATTTTTTTTACAGATACATTCCTTGACCCTTTATGAATACAATGAACATATTCGATCGTCAATTTAAAGTATTTACACAAGTGGATACCACAAAATATTAAGTTATACTTAATGAAAATATAATTAAACTTTAAGTGTTAGTAAACCAATTGTTTTGATAGGAAACGCATTGTACGAAATTAATTTCAACGATCCAACCGTCAAACATGTTTTTATATGCTTCAAGATCTCATATGCCAAGAATGGCAAAAAATGAACATGCAGAGATCAAGCAACAAGACAAAATATTTCGACGGTTATAAACGAAAAATCACGATTTAGCGGTACATTTAACTCCGATTTTGATGAATTTTTACAGATACACTCCTTGACCCTTTATGAATACAATGAACATATTCGATCGTCAATTTAAAGTATTTACACAAGCGGATACCACAAAATATGAAGTTATACTTAATGAAAATATAATTAAACTCTAAGTGTAGTAAATCAATTGTTTTGATGGGAAACGCATTGTACGAAATTAATTTCAACGATCCAACCGTCAAACATGTTTTTATATGCTTCAAGATCTCATACGCCAAGAATGGCAAAAAACGAACATGCAGAGATCAAGTAACATGACAAAATATTTCGACGGTTATAAACGAAAAATCACGATTTAGCGGTACATTTAACTCCGATTTTGATGAATTTTTACAGATACACTCCTTGATCCTTTATGAATACAATGAACATATTCGATCGTCAATTTAAAGTATTTACACAAGCGGATACCACAAAATATTAAGTTATACTTAATGAAAATATAATTAAACTCTATGTGTTAGTAAATCAATTGTTTTGATGGGAAACGCATTGTACGAAATTAATTTCAACGATCCAACCGTCAAACATGTTTTTATATGCTTCAAGATCTCATACGCCAAGAATGGCAAAAAAACGAACATGCAGAGATCAAGCAACAAGACAAAATATTTCGACGGTTATAAACGAAAAATCACGATTTAACGGTACTTTTAACTCCGATTTTGATGATTTTTTACAGATACACTCCTTGACCCTATATGAATACAATGAACATATTCGATCGTCAATTTAAAGTGTTTACAGAAGCGGATACCACAAAATATTAAGTTATACTTAATGAAAATATAATTAAACTCTATGTGTTAGTAAATTAATTATTTTGATGGGAAACGCATTGTACGAAATTAATTTCAGCGATCCAACCGTCAAACATGTTTTTATATGCTTCAAGATCTCATACGCCAAGAATGGCAAAAAACGAACATGCAGAGATCAAGCAACAAGACAAAATATTTCGACGGTTATAAACGAAAAATCACGATTTAACGGTACTTTTAACTCCGATTTTGATGATTTTTTACAGATACACTCCTTGACCCTATATGAATACAATGAACATATTCGATCGTCAATTTAAAGTGTTTACAGAAGCGGATACCACAAAATATTAAGTTATACTTAATGAAAATATAATTAAACTCTATGTGTTAGTAAATTAATTATTTTGATGGGAAACGCATTGTACGAAATTAATTTCAACGATCAAACCGTCAAACATGTTTTTATATGCTTCAAGATCTCATACGCCAAGAATGGCAAAAAATGAACATGCAGAGATCAAGCAACAAGACAAAATATTTCGACGGTTATAAACGAAAAATCACGATTTAGCGGTACATTTAACTCCGATTTTGATGAATTTTTACAGATACACTCCTTGACCCTTTATGAATACAATGAACATATTCGATCGTCAATTTAAAGTATTTACACAAGCGGATACCACAAAATATGAAGTTATACTTAATGAAAATATAATTAAACTCTAAGTGTAGTAAATCAATTGTTTTGATGGGAAACGCATTGTACGAAATTAATTTCAACGATCCAACCGTCAAACATGTTTTTTATATGCTTCAAGATCTCATACGCCAAGAATGGCAAAAAACGAACATGCAGAGATCAAGTAACATGACAAAATATTTCGACGGTTATAAACGAAAAATCACGATTTAGCGGTACATTTAACTCCGATTTTGATGAATTTTTACAGATACACTCCTTGACCCTTTATGAATACAATGAACATATTCGATCGTCAATTTAAAGTATTTACACAAGCGGATACCACAAAATATGAAGTTATACTTAATGAAAATATAATTAAACTCTAAGTGTTAGTAAATCAATTGTTTTGATGGGAAACGCATTGTACGAAATTAATTTCAACGATCAAACTGTCAAACATGTTTTTATATGCTTCAAGATCTCATACGCCAAGAATGGAGAATGTTTTGAAGAGAGATGGGGGAGGGAGGTAACTGATTAAATGAAGTAAGAAAAGGTCGTTGACTTTGCGCGACGCCACCTACGTCACGCAAAACAGCTTTGCGTGACGTAGGTCAACCTCCGTCACGCTAAGCTGGTTTGCTTGACGTAGGTGGCCTTGCGTCGCGCAAAGTCAATGAAAAAAACGGTAAAGCAATCTATATTTGGCGCCAAAATCTTGCGGGACGCACAAAACGTCGCACAAACGGCCTTTGCGTGACGGCAAGTTGCGCGACGTCGGTCTTGGTCGCGCAAAACAAGTTTGCGCGACGTAGGTTCAGTTAAGTCGCGCAAAACACTTTTGAGTGACGTCGGTCTTCGTCGCGCAAACTTCCGTCGCGCAAAGTCCGTTTGCGCGACGCTTTGTGTTTGACGTCACGCAAACATACTTTGCGCGACGAATTTGGCTGCGTCGCGCAAGTTTTCGTCGCGCAAAGTGTTTTTTCTACTAGTGATGGCGTTCTGTGTTGGTATTAAGATGCAGAAATGGTCATGCAAAACCTTAACGACAGTGTTAGTCCTTGTACACTGCATCAAGATCTTGGTGATAGTGGCACTTAGCCATCTGGGAATTCTCCAACCTTTCCAACTGATGACTGAACCAACTACTGACTCCATGGAAAATCATCCCACCAATTCAATACTTGTGTTCGACCGTTTGTACCCGTCGATACCCCCGGTGCCTCTCCATATACTAACAGCATGTATCAAGAGGCTTCCAGTGGTAGAGTTTGGTCAAGTTTTTGAAAAAATCACAAAGCATGAAACTCAGGAGACAGTTTGCAGCATATGCTTGGAGTGCATAGAGAGAAGCCATGAGGTGAGGGAACAGTGCAACTGTGACCATGTGTTTCACAGGGAGTGCCTAGATAGTTGGGTCAATCAAGGGGAAGTGACCTGCCCTTTGTGCAGAGCTCTGTTGTTTCCAGCCAAGAGAGAAACGACGAGCTGCGGTGGAGAAAATTCAGGGACGATGGAGAGGGATGGTTACCTTAATAGGTTAGAATTCATCGTGAGATGAGTAGTTTATAATGAACTCTTACCCGCAAGCCTCAGACTATGTAGAAGTAATTTTTCTTGGTATATATATTTCTTACAAAATTACTAGCCTTTTCTTTCCGTAGGTAACATAAGTAAGAATTCATTCACTGTCGGAGCGTATTGTATGTAGAGCTTGATGGATTCCCATGTTTTCA